ACCATGTAAGAAAAGAAGGGGAAAGGGGTAAGCTGTATAAACACATTATTCTAATTGTTGGAGCTGCTGCTCTGTGGCCATTTATATCATGAAAAGGTTAGTAGCGGAACTGTCAGGACAGGATATTGGTGACGTTCTTGCTAGTGTTTTTACTATGTTCAAATGATAAGAAAAGTACATTGTTGAGCCTTGGTTGGGTTCAACTAGTTACAGAAATAGGGATAAAATTTGAACTAAAAGAAAAATAGGTTTTAAGATGTTTTCTTGTGTGAAACTTGGGCTAACTTTTTGGTGTCTTGCATTAGATCCAAACACCCATGGATTGTCTCTCTGCCATATACACGGTGTTGTCTCGGAGGCGTGGACATGTTACTGCAGATGTTCCTCAACCTGGGACCCCTGCCTACATCGTCAAAGTTTGATTTCTGAATATAGATTGCATCCTGGATTTTGATACAATGTTCTCATGTTATAACGTCAAATTTTCTCATGTGCACACTTCTTTGTTCAGGCGCTTTTACCTGTTATTGAGTCCTTTGGTTTTGAGACGGACTTGAGGTATCACACCCAAGGGCAGGCGTTTTGTCTTTCGGTATTTGATCATTGGGCTATTGTCCATGGGGATCCTCTTGACAAGAGCATCGTTTTACGACCACTGGAGCCTGCCCCAATTCAGCATCTAGCTCGTGAGTTCATGGTGAAGACAAGGCGTAGAAAGGTATGAATTCGAGCAAGGTTAATTTGAAATTTTCAAAAAGTTGTTTTCTCTTCAGATTTCTGGAACACCTGATTTGAAGTGGTGTGTGTCCCCTTCCAGATATCCCTTGTTTCCTCTTCTACTCTGATCTTGGTGCAAGCTCTCTTCCACATGTCCCTTGTTTCCCATTTAAGGCTTCATCTCTCACCTTTTCGTAGTTTCTTTTTGAAACACAAATATATGTGAAGGGGAATGTGGTGATCGAAGCTTGATTAATCAGCCTTATTTGAAGTAGTTATCGAGCTTTATTGAACCAGATGATTGTCTCAAATGATAAATCTATCCTTTTCTTTTTAGGGCATGAGTGAAGACGTGACCATCAACAACTTCTTTGATGAGGCTATGATGGTGGAGCTTGCACAGCAGGATGCTGATCTTCACCTGCAGATGATGTAGATATCACATAGTTGAGATGGTTTTATGTTTATGTTTAGGCGCCATTACTTCTTTATGTCATGTAGCCTACAGCTTCTTGAAAGATGTAGATAACTGAGGTTCTTGAACCACAAAATTTAATATTCTAGTATGAATTGCCATTCCAGGATTACAGATGGTTCTTGTTTCACTCCCTCCCTTTGAGGTCGTCTATACCTGGGGTGATCCCTTGTTCTGAGTTCTGACATTCGAGTATTTGAGTAAGTTTCCTCTGTCAAACCGTAGGTTTTCACATTACTGGCATTGAGAATTAGATTTCTGTACGCAAAAATGCAGCTAATTATTGGGGTGTGGTTCAAGTTCTGACTTTCTCCTCTTTTTGAATCTCTTTTGGATTCTAGATAGGTCTAAAACTTTATCTCATTATCAGCGTTGCCAGAATTTCCTTTCTTATATATTTTTATTTGGACATTATAACATCTATTCCCAGTTTTAGTGGATGAAAGCTTCATATCCTGAGTTAGCAGTGATACTGGATTTAGTTATGTCACGACCCAAATTATCCCTCCGTAAGATGTCGTGATGGCACCTAGTCTTTACGACTAGGTAAGCCTAATATTGCGAAAAATATAAAGAAA